CCCCTCAGTCCTGGCTAGTGGTGTTCCCCTCACGCTGGGTCTTGGTGTTCCCCTCACTCCCCATTCCGGTGTTCCCCTCACTCCCCATTCCGGTGTTCCTCACCCCACCTGGTGTTCCCCCACCCCCACCCGGTGTTCCCCACTCCCCACCTGGTGTTCCCCACCCCCACCCGGTGTTCCCCCACTCCCACTCCGGTGTTCCCCTCCTCCCCACTCCGGTGTTCTACCCCCACTCCGGTGTTCCCTCACCCCCACCTGGTGTTCCCTTACTCCCCACTCCGGTGTTCCCCACTCCCCACTCGGTGTTCCTCAGGTGTGCAGGTAGTCTCCCCTCTCAGCTTTAAGACACTGTGAGGCCCCGGACCAGCTGATGACCCATACTTAACTATTTTTTCCCGGTTCTATTTCCGCCTTACACTGTGGCCATACTCGACTGACTGGTTACTCAACTGATCAACTGTTATTTCTACTGATCAACATATTCGACTGATCAACATACTCTCGACTGATCAACATACTCGACTGATCAACATATTCGACTGATCAACTAATTTATTCGACTAATCAACTGATTTATTCACTGACCAACTGATTTATTCGACTGATCAACTGATTTATTCGACTATATCTGTTATATTCGACTGATCAACCAACATATTCGACTGATCAACATATTTTCGACTGATCACCCAACATACTCGCTTGATCAACCAACGTAATTGACTGATCAACCAACATACTCGACTGATCACCCATATTTTCGTACTATAAAAAAATATAATAATGTTTTTTCTCTAAGGGACAACAATTCAAGAGTGTTGTGTGTGTGTGTGTGTGTGTGTGTGTGTGTGTGTGTGTGTGTTTGTGTGTGTGTGTGTGTGTGTGTGTGTGTGTGTGTCTGTCTGTGTCTGTGTGTGTGTGTGTGTGTGTGTGTGTGTGTGTGTGTGTCTGTCTGTGTGTATGTGTGTGTGTGTGTGTGTGTGTGTGTGTCTCTGTCTGTCTCTGTTGTGTGTGTGTGTTTGTCTGTCTGTCTGTCTGTGTGTGTGTGTGTGTGTGTCTCTGTCTGTCTGTCTGTCTGTGTGTGTGTGTGTGTGTGTGTGTGTGTGTGTGTGTGTGTGTGTGTGTGTGTCTCTTCTGTCTGTCTGTCTGTGTGTGTGTGTGTGTGTGTGTGTGTGTGTGTGTGTGTGTGTGTGTGTGTGTGTGTGTGTGTGTGTGTGTGTGTGTGTTTTCTGTCAGAAAAACCCATTACCGTGACTAATTTCCTTCTCAGATATAATGACCTTAACTTGCATCTAATTACGCAACGCTCAATCTAATTACCTGCCATCATTAGCGGGCGTTTGTCGTGATGACAAGGAAAAAATTATTATGTTTTTAGTTTTATATTTTTTTCCTGTATACTTCAATGTGTTGTGGTATACTTGTGTGTTGTGGTATACTCGTGTGTTATGGTATACTCGTGTGTTGTGAGTATACTCGTGTGGTATACTCGTGTGTTGTGGTATACTTGTGTGTTGTGGTATACTTGTGTGTTGTAAGTATACTTGTGTATTTGTATTAGTATACCTGTGTATTTATCAGGTATACTCGTGTGTTGTGTGATACTTGTGTGTTGTGGTATACTTGTGTGTTGTAGTATACCTGTGTGTTGTGGTATACCTGTGTGTTGTGGTATACTTGTGTGTTGTGGTATACTTGTGTGTTGTGTGTCTTGTGTGTTGTGAGGTATACCTGTGTGTTGTCAGGTATACCTGTGTGTTGTGAAATATATACCTGTGTGTTGTGGTATACTTGTGTGTTGTGGTATACTTGTGTGTGTTGGTATACTTGTGTGTTGTGGTATACTTGTGTGTTGTGGTATACCTGTGTGTTGTGGTACATACTCGTGTGTTGTGGTATACTTATTATTAATTTGTGGGTATGCTTGTGTGTTGTGGTATACCTGTATGTTGTGAGGTATACCTGTGTGTTCAATGAGTATACTTGTGTGTTGTGGTATCTTGTGTTGTGGTATCTTGTGTGTTGTGAGTATACCTGTGTGTTGTGGTATACCTGTGTGTTGTGAGTATACTCGTGTGTTGTGGTATACTTGTGTGTTGTGGTATACTTGTGTGTTGTGGTATACCTGTATTGTTTATTCAGGTATGCCTGTGTGTTGTGGTATACTTGTGTGTTGTGGGTATACTTATTGTGTTATGTAGGTATACTTGTGTGTTGTGGTATACTGTGTGTTGTGGTATACCTGTGTGTTGTGGTATACTCGTGTGTTGTGGTATACTTGTGTGTTGTGGTATACCTGTGTGTTGTCAAATATACTTGTGTTGTCAGTATCTTGTGTGTTGTGGTATACTTGTGTGTTGTAGCAGGTATACCTGTGTGTTGTTGTGGTATACTTGTGTGTTGTGGTATACTTGTGTGTTGTGGTATACATGTGTGTTGTGGTATACTCGTGTGTTGTGGTATACTTGTGTGTTGTGGTATACTTGTGTGTTGTGGTATACTTGTGTGTTGTGGTATACTTGTGTGTTGTGGTATACTTGTGTGTTTGTGGTGGTATACTCGAGGTGTTGTGGTATACTTGTGTGTTGTGGTATACCTGTGTGTTATGGTATACTTGTGTGTTGTGTGTATACTCAGTGTTGTGTGAGTATACTTACCCATGTGTTGTAGTATACTTGTGTGTTGTGGTATACTTGTGTGTTGTGGTATACTCAGTGTTGTGGTATACTCGTGTGTTAATGGTATACTTGTGTTGTATGTTATACTTGTGTGTTGTGGTATACTCGTGTGTTGTATGGTATACTTGTGTGTTGTGGTATACTTGTGTGTTGTGGTATACCTGTGTGTTGTGGTATACTTGTGTGTTGTGGTATACCTGTGTGTTGTCAGGCATACTTATTGTGTTGTGGTATACTTGTGTTGTGGTATACCTGTGTGTTAGTAGGCCCATACCTGTGTTGTAGTATCTTGTGTGTTGTGTGGTATACCTGTGTGTTGTATCAGTATACTTGTGTGTTGTGGTATACCTGTGTGTTTGTGAATACTTGTGTGTTGTGGTATACTTGTGTGTTGTGGTATACCTGTGTGTTGTGGTATACTTGTGTGTGTTGTGGTATACTCGTGTGTGGTATACTTGTGTGTTGTGGTATACTTGTGTGTTGTGGTATACTTGTGTGTTGTAGGTATACTCGTGTGTTGTGGTATATACTTGTGTGTTGTAGGTATACTTGTGTGTGGTATACTTGTGTGTTGTGTGAGGTATACTTGTGTGTTGTGGTATACTTGTGTGTTGTGAGTATACCTGTGTGTTGTGTGGTATACTTGTGTGTTGTGGTATACTCGTGTGTTGTGGTATACTCGTGTGTTGTGAGTATACTTGTGTGTTATGTATTGTGCTCTTACAGTGTGTTGTGGTATACTTGTGTGTTGTGGTATACTTGTGTGTTGTGGTATACTTGTGTGTTGTGGGTATACCTGTGTTGTGGTATAACTTGTGTGTTGTGGTATACTTGTGTGTTGTGGTATACCTGTGTGTTGTGGTATACTTGTGTTGTAGTATACCTGTGTGGTATGGTATACTTGTGTGTTGTGGTATACTTGTGTGTTGTGGTATACCTGTGTGTTGTCTGAGCCCATACTTATTAGTATTTGTGAGGTACATGCTCGTGTGTTGTGGTATACTCATTGTGTTGTGGTATACTTGTGTGTTGTGGGTATACCTGTGTGTGTTGTGGTATACTTGTGTGTTGGTATACCTGTGTGTTGTGGTACTCTTGTGTGTTGTGGTATACTCATTGTGTTGTGGTATACTTGTGTTGGTGTGAGTGTCTTGTGTTGTGGTATACTTGTGTGTTGTGGGTATACTTGTGTGTTGTGGTATACTCAGTGTGTTGTGAGTATACTCGTGTGTTGTGGTATACTTGTGTGTTGTGGTATACTTGTGTTTATTAGGTATACCTGTGTGTTGTGGTATACTTGTGTGTTGTGGTATACTTGTGTGTTGTGTTATACCTGTGTTGTGGATATACTCGTGTGTTGTGGTATACTCGTGTGTTGTGTTATACCTGTGTGTTGTGGTATACTTGTGTGTTGTGGTATACCTGTGTGTTGTGGTATACTTGTGTGTTGTGGTATACTTGTGTGTTGTGTGGTATACTTGTGTGTTGTAATTATCTTGTGTGTTGTGGTATACCTGTGTGTGTGAGTATACCTGTGTGTTGTGGTATACTTGTGTGTTGTGGTATACCTGTGTGTTGTGAGTATACTCGTGTGTTGTGGTATACTTGTGTGTTGTGGTATACTTGTGTGTTGTGGTATACTTGTGTGTTGTGGTATACTCGTGTGTTGTGGTATACTCGTGTGTTGTGGTATACTTGTGTGTGTTGTGTATACTTGTGTGTTGTGGTATACTCGTGTGTTGTGGTATACCTGTGTGTTGTGGTATACTTGTGTGTTGTGGTATACTTGTGTTGTGGTATACTTGTGTGTTGTGGGTATACTTGTGTGTTGTGGTATACTCGTGTGTTGTGTTATACTTGTGTGTTATTAAGTATACCTGTGTGTTGTGGTATACTTGTGTGTTGTGGTATACTTGTGTGTTGTGAGTATACCGTGTGTTGTGTATACTTGTGTATTTATTGAGTATACCTGTGTGTTGTCAGTATACTCGTGTGTTGTAGGTATACTTGTGTGTTGTGGTATACCTGTGTTGTCAAATACTCGTGTGTTGTGGTATACATGTATGCTGTATACTCAAATTGGTATAGATGTATAAGAGATATTTATACATGAGGTGGGTGTATAAGAGATACATACATACATACATACATACATACATACACATGGACCATGTGTGATAAATAACATGTTTACACCTCCACCCCCCTCCAACACAAAAATCACCCCCAAGACTCATTAAAAAACAGAATAAATCACCAACCGGGCCTCTTAAGCCTCCGGGACTCTGGCTTACACCCAAAGTTGGTTTTTGTTATCAAGTCTCAACATTTGATCTTCAGAAACCAGTATCTCTCGTTCTCATTAGAAACCTCCATGACGTAGGTATCTGGTATCATATAAAGGTATTGGTGTTTGGTTTTCAATATGTGTTTACCTGTGTGTTTACCTGTAACATCTACTAATTAAAAAAAAACACATCACGACAGGTATTTTAGGGATGTGAGAATACTAAACACACTGTCATCACACATCACCAAATATCTGCACAGAAAGGTCCCAGGGGCATGACAGACAGACCATTAGGGACAGTGAGGATAGAGACAACGAAATACTAAACCTTCAGTACACAATGAAACAAGATTGGCCGGCACTACTGCTCGACCGCCTCCACCTCCCCAACATGTAAAGTAAGGTGTCGATTTACAGGGGCAATATAACACAAGAGACATTACAGAAATAAATTGGATTCATACTTGTGTGTTTATGTCAATGGAAATCTACAAACATCGTAAAAAAAAGTGTTTATATATTTTTTAACATATTTAGGTTGTTAGGTTATATTTAGAACATACTCATGGGCGCTAATTCATAGGATAAAATGATCCTGAAGATTAATCACCTTTATTTCACACAATTAACCACCCTAACGCTTACCTAATCCAACCTAACCTTCCCAAATTTAGCCTACCTTCACCTAATCTAACCTCACCTTACCTAATCTAACCTAACCTTCCCTAATTTAGCCTACCTTCACCTAACCTAACCTCCCACTCTGATAGCATTGGGGAGGTTAATCTTCAGGTGAAACAAATTAAGGTGTCTAAACCTCAGGTGACTCAATAAACACGTAGACACAAATTATAGGGGAAGATCTAATCGATAAAAATTCAATAATTGTTTATATTCAGCCAATAATTACTTATATAATTGTCTATTAGAATAATTACTGAACAAAACCACTGCACGAGTGAGGTGTTATTGATGTGATAACTGCGTTGTTGGCTAACCTACTGACCTAGTTTGTGTGTGTGTGTGTGTGTTGTGTTGTGTGTGGGGTGTGGTGAGGTAAGGCAAGGTAAAGTAAGGTAAGGTAAAGTAAGGTAAGGTAAAATAAGGTAAAATAAGGTAAAATAAGGTAAAGTAAGGTAAGGTAAGGTAAAATAAGGCAAGGCAAGTTTAGTTTAGGCTTTACACTTAATTATTTTTTCCTCAAATTCTTCAACAGGTTTAAGTCTATATGATAACCACACCTTAACCACCTGTGATTAACGCCAAGGTCAAGGTAACCTGATCAACCCGTCGACCCTTTGCCGGCAAGTACCTCCCTCCCTCCTCTCAATGCTTCTTCTACCTCTTCCTCTACCTTTATCATCTTCTTCTTAATCTATATCCCAATCTTCCCTTACCCTCCTCTTCTCGTTCTTCTTCCTCTTTCTTCTATCTCCTCTTCCTCTTAACCCCTCTTTATCAAGCCTTCTCCTCCTCTTTATTTCTCCCCCTCTTACCTTATTCCATATTTATTCTTCCTCCTCTTACGCTCACCTTCTTCCAATTTCTTTCTCCTCTTCTCTTCTTCTCCTCTGACGCCCACGTTCACCACTGTGTTTCATTCATCCATCTTTATCACGCGTGTGTGTGTGTCTCATTCATCACGTGTTTTATCTCTCCATTCTTCATCACGTGTCTTGCCTTATCCTTATCCATACCTTTAATCTATCTTGTATCACGTCTGTGTGTCTGTCTTATCCACCAATCTCTCCGTCACGTGTACCATCCACCTATCTGGTTATCCCCCTCCTGTAGTTGTGTCACCTCATTAGCATACCCTTCCCCTCTATCCCCTCCCCTCCTGCCCCCATCCCTCCTCTCCCTCCTGCTCCCCATCCCCACCTCCCTCCTCCCCCCTCTCCCCCCCCCTCCTCTCCCTCCCACCCCTCCTGAATACGAGACAAGAATTTTGGCCGTAAAGTGGACTTAAGAGTTCTGAGTTCTGAGGTCTGGAAGAGATAAGAGTTCTGGGGGTCCAAGTGTACAAGGAGATAAGAGTTCTGAGGTCTAAGTGTAGAAGGAGATAAGAGTTCTGGGGTCCAAGTACAAGGAGATAAGAGTTCTGAGGTCTAAGTGTAGAAGGAGACAAGAGTTCTGGGGTCTGCAGGAGATAAAGAGTTCTGGGACTATAAGAGTTCTGGGGTCTAAGTGTACAAGGAGATAAGAGTTCTGGGGTCTAAGTGTACAAGGAGATAAGAGTTCTGGGGTCTAGGAGATAAGAGTTCTGAGGTCTAAGTGTACAAGTGGATATAAGAGTTCTGGGGTCTAAGTGTACAAGGAGATAAGAGTTCTGGGGTCTAAGTGTACAAGTGGATATAAGAGTTCTGGGGTCTAAGTGTACAAGGAACGTGTCTACAGCGCTTAATAGTGAGGTTATAATCCGTACACACACACACACACACACACACAATAGATCGCACCAGTACCACTAAAACACAGATCCTTTCTCCTACTGATAACGTTGTAACGTTGTGTGTGCTGTGTTGTTTCCCCACAGCACCACCACGACTCGGTGTTATGTCATGTCATCACAGCAACATTATGCCCGTGTGTCGTGTCATGCCATCAAAGCACTGCCATGACTCGGTGTTATGTCATGTCATCACAGCAACATTATGCCCGTGTGTCGTGTCATGCCATCAAAGCACTGCCATGACTCGGTGTTGTGTCGTATCATCAAAACACCACAATGACTGTTTACTGTGTTGCGTCACCACAGCATTGCCATGACTTGTGTGCTGTGTAACCTCATCACAGCATCACCATCACAAGTTGGCCATTACGTCAATTTTCTAATCTTTTCGTCAACTTTCTGGTCTTTTAGTCAACTTTCTGATCTTTTCGTCAACTTTCTGGTCTTTTAGTCAACTTTCTGATCTTTTCGTCAACTTTCTGATCTTTTCGTCACAAATATTATAGTTGATGAACTTGACTTATGAGACCTTTCATTGATCATCGTTTTTTTCTGATCGTTTTTGGCGGGTTTCATTGTGTATGGTCGTTATTACTGTAATTATAAAATACTTCACCACGCGACGTTCACTGTAATACACCACTTAAGTGGATGTTGTAGAGGTCTGCTTAGCCAGGAGTGAATGAATGGGTCAGTAGGTGTGGGTGGAGGTGTAAGAATGAATGAATGAGCGAGAGTGAAGGTTTCCAGTGAATGTAGCGAAGGATGAAGGTGTAGCAGGGTGTAGAAGAGTATATGAATTAGGGTGTAAGTGTAGTGTGAGGTGTTGAGGGTGTAGTGAGGTGAGGTAGGAGAGGCAGGCAGGCTGACCTAGGCAGAAGGAGGACGCGTGTCTCCTCTCGGCAAACAGAGTGGGGCACTACGGTGGTGGCTGGCGCGGCTCCCCTCACTCACCACCGCGCAATACAGGGGGCGGTCTTACCCTCTGACGGTGGGCGTGGCCTCCTTTTCTAGCCACTGACGGGAGGTGTGGGCGTGGCTCAATGTCCCAGGGCCTCACCGCCCCCTCTTAGTACTCCGAGGACAGTGTGCTAGCGCGGATGGCCACCAACTAGAGCACACACTACAAACTAAACTATCATTTTAAACTACTACAACCATACGAACATTTCAATACACCTTGACTCAAAACTGCCGTGCAATCAAACTAGTTTTTTCTCACCTAAATTACTAGTTATGTGATAAGTGATATACATTAACTTCCGCCACCGCCAAAAAAAAGTTAAATGCTGTGTCGACTCAGTGTGAATAAAGTGTCGAACGATACATCTGAAAACTTAGGCCAAATTGCCCAACCTTGGTACCGCGCCACCACTAGTACTACGTGGTTGAGACAGTGGCCTCTCCCGTAAGCACACACGGGACGCATTCCGCCAGTAACAGTGAACACAGGTAAAACACTAAGCTTAAGTGGACAGGTGAACACAGCTAGAACACAAAGCTTAAGTGAACAAGTGAACACACACGAGATAGCCCAACAAAGTGAGCACAACTGAAGTACTGAATATAAAAGGTTAACAGTGAACACAAAGCCACATATTAAATCACATTAAACCCTAAAACACGTGTCACAGTTATCATAAAACATCCTGAACACAGTAAAACACCGAGTTAGGGAACATAAGTGAACAAAACACCTGTGAGAAAGTGAACACGTGAGAAATATCGAGTTAAGGTGAAAAAGTGAACACAGACGAATCAATAAACCACATAAAACAGTGAACAGAAACGAATCACTTATGTTTTTGAGCATTCGTATGTGAGTGAGAAGGGCCAGTGTGGGCAACTGGCGGTGGGGTCTTGGGTGGGGGTGGTGGGGTGGGTGGGGGGTGGGGTGGGGAGGTGGTGGGTAGAGTGGGCGAGGTCTGGGGTGCAATGGGGACGTGTGGGAGCGAGAAGGTAAACAAATCTTCACATACACAAACACACACACACACACTCATCGACTGTGTGTGTGTTTGTGCGTCTGGGGTCTACGGGACTATACATCTGCCAACATTGTTCAGAAAAGGTAAGCAAACAAATTCGTTTTACTGAATAAAAAAAAAATAAGATTGTGTAAATAGCCAAGTATAATATATTTTTTACTAGTTATATAAAGGCCACTACTGACTTACTGACCTACTGAGAGCATTATACACCTCACTCCAGACTTACTGACCTACTGAGAGCATTATACACCTCACCCCAGGCTTACTGAGAGCATTATACACCTCACCCCAGGCTTACTGAGAGCATTATACACCTCACTCCAGGCTTACTGAGAGCATTATACACCTCACCCCAGGCTTGCTGAGGCGTTATACACCTCACTCCAGGCTTGCAAGGCATTATACCTCACCCCCAGCTTACTGACCTACTGGGGCGACCATACACACCTCACCCAGGCACCAGGCATTATACACCTCACTCCCCAGCTTACTGACCTACAGGCATTATACACCTCACCCCCAAGGCTTACTGAGGCATTATACACCTCACCCCCAGCTTACTGACTACTGAAAGCGTGTTGCCCACCTCCCCAGGCTTACTGAGATCATTATACACCTCACTCCCCAACTTACTGACCTACTAAGCATTATACACCTCACCCCAGGCTTACCTGAGATCATTATGCACCTCACTCCAACTTGCTGACCTACTGAGGCATTATACACCTCACCCAGGCTTACTGAGGCATTATACACACCTCACCCCAGGCTTACTGGGAGCATTATACACCTCACCCCAACTTACTTGTTGACCTACTGAAAGCATTGTGCACACCTCACCCCCAGGCTTACCCCGGATCATTATACACCTCACTCCCAACTTACTGACCTACTGAAAGCATTATACACCTCACCCCAGGCTTACTGAGATCATTATACACCTCACTCCAACTTACTGACCTACTGAGAGCATTATACACCTCACCCCAGGCTTACTGAGAGCATTATACACCTCACCCCAGGCTTACTGAGAGCATTATACACCTCACCCCAGGCTTACTGAGACCATTATACACCTCACTCCAGGCTTACTGAGAGCATTATACACCTCACCCCAGGCTTACCAGCAGCTATGGGACGCATCAGGGTGATACAGGATTGAGACATTTACAATTTCAAATCATCATCAATAATTATGTATGTGTCGTACTGTTAGTGAGCTTTATCCATGTTATTTATATAGAGAAACCTAACCTAACAAAACCTAACTTAACCTAAACTACCTTGACCTAACCTAACCTGACCTGACGTAAACTACCTTGACCTAACCTGACCAAACCTACCTTGACCAAACCTACCTTGACCTAACCTAACCAGATCTGACCTAACCTAACCAACACGCCCGCCCCTTCTCATTCATTAGTTGTGAGGCAGTTTTAACACCTCCTTCAACCACCAGTTGTTAACAATCCAACTGTACCTGTGAGCGAGAAGGTGTGTTGTTAATTAAGGAAAAAGACACAGACAGACAGACAGACAGACTTTATATAGTAAATTCTGTAGGTGACAAATTGATACCACCACCACAGCTAAGACCATCACCACCACACCACCACCCACCACACCACCACACCAACCATCACACCACCACCCACCACACCAACCATCACACCGCCACACCACACCCCACCACACCACCACACAACTACCACCACACCAACCATCACACTACCACCCACCACACCAACCATCACACCACCACACCACACCACCACACCAACCATCACACCACCACTCCACCACACCACACCAGTCCCATCCACCACACCACCACCACCACACCACACCACACCCACCATCACACAATCCAACCACTAATAAAACACAAGAGCTAATTCAAGCCGCGTCGTAGTTCAGATTCTATTAAGGTCCCAAGACAGACATGACACAAAAACTGGTAATCGACATGACACTTGTATACAGCTGTCTGCCCTGAATAATCAAATCCCCCCGAGCATTGCAAGGGAAGTCACACACGTACAAAGAAAAACACGCCAGGCACAAACAAACAAACAGAAGAGGAGTAAACAAACAAATAGGAGTAAACAGGCAAATCGGAGGAGTAAACAAACAAATAGGAGGAGTAAACAGGCAAATATGAGGAGTAAACAAGTAAATAGGAAGAGTAAACAAGTAAATAGGAGTAAACAAGTAAATAGGAAGAGTAAACAAGTAAATAGGAGGAGTAAACAAGTAAATAGGAAGAGTAAACAAGTAAATAGGAGGAGTAAACAAGTAAATAGGAAGAGTAAACAAGTAAATATGAGGAGTAAACAAGTAAATAGGAGGAGTAAACAAGTAAATAGGAGGAGTAAACAAGTAAATAGGAGGAGTAAACAAATAAATAGGAGGAGTAAACAAACAAACAATGGGGGGTACCTGCCAGGAACATTGTGTGTGTGTGAAGTGGTTTTAGTCATGACTGATGCCGGTGCTTCCCTGCCACAGCTAAAACCACCATCACCGCAGCTAACATCACCAGCACAACCACCGCTAACAACAACAACAATCACCACCATCACCACCACCACCGCAGCTAACACCACCACAATCACCGCAGCTAACACC